TGACAAGAGCTTATTTTATTGCCTTATGTTCAGTGCTGAAGAATTCTTTTGAAGAAATTCTATATTTCTGAAATAAACCCAGTAACTTTTTACTTACTTCCTTTTAATGCATTATTTGATTGTGATAGGAGATGTGAAAGAATGAAATGCATTGTAAATAAAGATTTCATTGTCATTAAAGTTACTTTAAAATTAAAATGGCAGTCAGAGATCCCCCATGAGCATAACTACATATGTATTTTCTTGTTAGGATTCCTAGAAAGAACATGAAGTCAGAAGTTGTCCAGACATCCACCATTCCTTGAAAACAACAGAAAAAATCTCTAACTAGGCAATATACAACTTTAAACTACTCTTACTCATGTGACAACAAGGCACTTGATACAAGCAACAAATATCTTGACTGCAACTAGAAAGTTTAATATCATGGAGAAAAAGCCAGTAGCTTCCTAATCTGGAAATATACAATTTTTTCAGAGTCTGGGAATCTGTCTACTGAGACTGGAAAATACAGGATGTATAAGGTACTAAGAGTTTGAGGCAAAAGAATAAGTCAGGTGAAAGAATATACCTCTGTGAGGGGTCTTACATACCATGACAGATGGGGAAAAGAGGGAAATGCTTCTCCTGTTAACGTGTGTATATTACATTTTCCTATAAAATGAAACAGCAAAGAAAATCATAAGTCAGACTTATGAAAAAAACCTCCAAAGTTTCTTTTAAAACAACCTGTTCACAGAGGATCCTTACAAAATATATCATAAAAGGTTTTCAATGGCAAAATTACCCCAGAATAATATTTTTTTTAACTTCAAAAGCACCTGTGAGCTGAAATATAAGCATTGTAAGGTCCTGTGTAGAACAGTAAACAAAATGTCCCTGTGCCTGTTCTCTGCTCTGCTCAGCTGCTGGACGCAGGCCAAATGGCATGGCACCATTCACCTCCATATGGCTAAATGCTCTTTTCCTCCAAAATGCTGGCTGTATTCAAAGTGCCTACTGAGTATGTTCCCTGAATTATGTTAGCTTCTGAATGAGGTTGAAAGATGCTGGTTTGTACAACCAAAAACAATTTTAAGGCTGTGATGCCTTATCAGTATTGACCATCTTATGCCAGTTACATTGGCTCTGTTTAATTTAATTAAGCCCAATATAATTTACTACTACGTGTGTAGTTGCAACATTTTAGCAGTTTCCTTTTTATAGAGACTATTTTGCAAACCATCAGTGTCTCTATTACTGTGATTTGCCAACATATATTTGAAAGTTTTCAATTCATATTAAAAATAAACATTGAATAAAAGATCAGCAAGAAACTGTGTATTTTTTGAACAGAACATGAAAGCAAACCGATTCTAAGAAGATTCTGAATCATAGAAAAATGACAGCAACTATTATTGAATCTAGCGAAGAAAAAACATCCTATTTTCTTTGCATCACCAGAGATTGATGTCATTCATAAAAACACCACTAGAAGTGTTAGTTTTAGATCAAAACAAAACAACATAGTGATTTTTATAAGATATTCTAGCACTTAAAATATATAGTTACTAGTGTCTATGTGAATCAGCAAGTGATATGGACGACTGGCCTTCAAACGCCTAACCATATCAGGTGGAGTATGGCATAGGAGCAGAACGGTGTGTGCTCTGCCAAACCTGTAGTAGATGGAGTTTACCTGTTTCCCTTGACTATAACTTAGGAGAGAAGGCATGGCATTTTCTTCAAATAAGGGTGATTTACAGGCAGCTTGGGAACTGTGGGTAAAACCTATGTATTTCACAAGAGAACTGACAACTGGTACACCCAGAGGACTTGTGGGAAATGATTTAGGAATTTAAGAAGCTTAATATTCTTTAGCTTCCCTACTTTTTGAAAATAATTAGTGTCATAACTTCATTTTCTCCAGCCTTAGTTTACTTGTGAATCTTTACCCACAACAAATCCTGTAGCACTTAAATGAAATTCTCTGACCATATAAAAACTGCTTTAGGATGTTTTATACAACTGCTTGTGATCCTGGTGAAATGGATCAAGAAATTGCTGTCCTTCAAGCTTATGTAAGATAAACAACTGCTCTTCTAGGCTCCTGCAATGCTGAATAAAATGTTCAAGTCACCACTAGGGGTAATTCATATATCATTTTTTTAATCTGGCATTACTAAGGAGACACTCATCAACAACTGTGGAGAAGAAATATTTTAAAATCCTAAAATAATGCAGTTGGTCATGTCACCACACTTTCAGAAACCTAGCCTGAGCTGTGCTAGCTCACTTTTAATTTTGAAAAATCATACCATTGAACTGTTTAACTTATTGAAGGCAAGATAATTCTGAAAAGTTCAATCTCAGTTGAAAACTCACTACAAAAAAAACCCATGCATAAGTACTGACAAGCGAAATCAGCTCTGGTTTACTTTTTGTCTGGCTTTGTTATTCCTTTATGCCATTAGAAAACAATCATAGTAAATAAGCGTAGGCATATCTATAGTATTTGAAATATGATTTTGCATGCTATTATGGGAGGAAAATCACCTCAACGACTTGACTCAGAGGAATACCAAAGCATTATGTGTATACATTATAAACAATGTAAGAGTTTAATTTCTCCCAACTACCATCTATTCCCAAGGTTTCTCAGTTTACTTACCAAAATAGATTCAGAATATATCTACATATCATAAAAATTGTTCAAAGGCTTTGTACACACTGAAAGTTTAAATAATAATTCTAAAGCATTACTTATTTGCTTGAATCACTTAGCACACTGACATTTTTTGCACTGAGTTTTGATCTCTCAATGGATCTCCCATCCCATCAATTTCTTTCTTCACTTTCTTTAGCTTGAGTATTCTATAGTTCTGTTTCACAGAATCTTTTTAACACTCTCTAGATTCTGAATGTATAATTAACCACCCACAAAATAAGCATCTTTATAGCTGAAGTGCATGTTCATTCATGAGTGTGAGAGCTCCCACATTAAAGTGAGAACTGTTGTAACACTATTTACTCTAGTATCATCCTTGCCCAAAGCACAGTGCTCTCTTCTTTTTTTTTTTTTTTTTTTTTTTTTTTTGTGTGTGTGCTTATTCTCATCAAAATGTAGTTCTTTTATATTCCCCTTCCCCAAAACAAAGGTTTTTTTTTTTTTTTTTTTTTTTTTTTTTTTTTTGTGTGTGCTTATTCTCATCAAAATATAGTGTCTTCTGGATTAATTTATGTGACAGCATAAAATTCAGTAACAAAATTATGCCGTGTCCTTATAGTTTGTTGAGAGGTGTATCCCTTCTCTTATTAGTAACTGCCTTTCCCCAGTACACATATAAGCTCATCACTCTCAGACACACTCGGTGTATCTTTTGACTTTATGGAATGTAGAGACTCACATAGACTAAGACTGCTCTTAACCCTAAGGGGTTTCTTCGCATGGTGGCTCCTCTGTTGCTTGTTTTATCAATCAATAACCAACTAAAACTCAACTTCAGTCCTAATCCACCAGTTCTCCCTGGAGTACAACATGCAAATAGCTTGGCATAAATCATGTGCCTAAAAATAAACAGTACTCCAAACCTTTGCAATAGAAAGAAGGAAAAAAGAGGGTTAATAAAATCTTACTAATTTCGATACCTACTTCAAGCTTTTTTTCTTTGCAAGTGCTTTTGACTACTTTGATTTATTAAAAGGATATATATCCCTAGGCCATTTTTCCTATAAAACATGAGCATGAGACTTCCTTAGGGACATGACTATGCGAATTTATTTCATTTGAAGAGCATTAGAAAGGCAAAAACACAAAGAGAAAGTGTCAGGAATCTGACTCATAACAGGAACATAAAGATTAACCACTTTCATCTGTTTGCCTGACTAATAGATAAAGAAAAAGCCTTGAATACTTTCAAGCAAAGTCTGTAAAGTTATTCAAGATTTGAGTGGCAATGAATAATCCAGGGAAACTACATCGGGGGTGGAAGTTGAGAAATGCTGCTTAATAAACAAAAATACAATGTGAGACACAGTGTGCAACCAACAGACAGGAAAGTTTACCTGTGACCATTATTATTTTGGCTATACTTCATGGAACATGTAAGACACAGATGGAAGGCTGCAAGACATCAAAATGTTTCCTTTTGACAACCTAAAAAAACAAGTGTAATTTCATAGTTCTGATCATATGTCTATGTCAATCCCATATCAGTAGACTAAGACATATTTGACTAGTAAGCTAATTATTTTAGTGTAATTCCTATGAGTAAGGTCCCTAGAACTCAAGTAGGAGAACTATTTTTTCTTCTTCAGGATGGAGAAGCAAGCCTAGACAAATTACAGAGTTAAGTTAATATCTCTATGTACCAGAAGTTTCAACTCAAACTCAAAAGCATTTTGTTTTTCTCTCGTGTGATAATCCAGAATATGTTCTTTGCCTCCCCAGCATATGCCAAAAGCATTCACAGGGAAATATGAAGATAAGATTCTGTGAAAACCTTACAAAACCAACCTGTTTAATTCTTCTATTTCATCCTCAGGAAACCAATTTATTAATTAACTATAAATACTGACAATGACTGCTTCTTCAATATAGCTTTCTTGGGGGGTAGCTCTTCTTTACTGTATATTGACAAAATAATTGTGATCGTGATATGAACTAAGATAATCAAGGCAGTTTTCCAGATTTCATTTTATGATACTTAAGTGTTCGTACATCTTCATGCAGGAAAAAAGGCTGGCATGCATGCCAAATTAATGCATCTCTTACTGCAAAAAATTATTTATGTAGTAAAATATGAAAGGATCAAGTAATGTTAAGTATTCAGTGCCTATACATGATCTATTGAAGAACTGAGATTTTAGTTATTAAAAAAAATACAAGACTTTATTTCGGTTATGGACATAACTGAAATAAAAACATATGAATAAGAAATAACCTAAAGTATTTTCTACCTTTTTTCCTTATAATTGCTTGATAGCTTGTACTGTGTGGACAGGTGATAAAAAACCAAAATCACTTTCTTGGGTTACACTATAAGATATATTCATTGAGTGACCTCTGAAGTATATTTAGAAAAGATACTTTTTTTGGAATGTACTTTCATTTATTTTTATCTATTTAGGTATTTATCTATTTATCTAACTTATCAATGGTTCACATCAAATTATCTATTTAAATATTAAAGCAGATTTAAAAATTACTAAGATTTATAACATGACAAGAAATGATGCAATCCTCCTCAAATCAGAATATGTGAATAGGCTTAATCAGTTAAGAGGTATTAAACACAGAAGAGACAGTATTCTGTCTATCTGTATATTAATTGATTAAATCTATTTTATATGAAGATAATCCCATCTTTTAGATCATGTAACTAGACACTAAGTAGCCAGTATTCACTATAGATGATTTCATATATTTCATCATAACAGATGCATTTCTAGACTCTCAGAAATTACTGAAGTTTCATCTGTCCTATTCTAGATGAAGATTTCTAGGCATTTCTTCCTGCGGCTCTCCTAAGCAGCACATACTTAGATCAGTTCCTGGATAAAAGTGAACTGTGTCTTCTGTTTTATTTAGAATGGTTTTTGTCTCTTTTATCACTGAATACTGAGAAAAAAGTTGAGGCACCAGGGAGTTTTTAGTCCAGCTGTTGTGGTATAAATCAATATTTAAAATGCACAGTGGCAATTTTTCTTCCTTTGAAAGTAGGACTTGTTACCCTGCATTCTTGTACTGTTAAATCCAAGACTTTATCAGTGTTAAACACAAACCCTAATATTGTTTTTTATCCAGAAGCACTACTCCACTGACAAATTCAACAAAACAGTAATATACTTCAGTCATGAAGTAAATATAACAGTAATAAAATTTTTAATTCATGTTTGATTTTTGTGCTTCCCTGGAGGAATTTTCAAGCTATAATACTTTATGAATGAGGAGTTAAAACATTCCAGCTTGAGAAAAATAAGTCCTTCAACCTTATTTATTGATTTCAGTGTTAGAACAACAAACTTTTAAGAGCTCATGGGTGCATGGGTAAAGCTGGCCAATGCAAAAATTCCTCGTTGAAAATACAATCTGTTTCATCACTTTCTTAGGGATAAATCTTCTTCTAAAACATTACTTAGTAAGGCACAGGTGAATTGCAGGTATTCTGTCTATCATCTTATTGCCACCAACTACTCATGCGTGGGGTTTACGAGCCAGGTGACGATATGCAATTTCGCTTCCATATCCTTCTCCTACATTTCACCATAAAGCTTTTAATTCTGTAATTATGTCCCCGATGCAGTGTACTCTGTGACACCCCTCCCAAGTGGGCAGATGTTCCTAAGCAGATCTCTTATGTTGTGAAAGGAACCTCCCTTGGGTTTAGCACTGTCAGACTGCATTAAGAGCAGGTATGAAAGGTAAGAAGCAGATGTGTTATGCTATTTCTGTTTGACACACTGTACCTCTAGCCAATGTTTTCTACTGGTACAGCAACACTGAGCCAACAGGCTAATGAATGGAGCCTGCAGAATACATTGTTAACCTGCAACCTCATCCAGTCTGCATGCAGTCTATTAAGTCAGTACTCCTATTATTCACATTTCTTGTGTTTACTGCTGCTGATACATTTGTCGTTGTACTTTATTTTGCCTCCAGTAATATACAGCTGTCTCAGAACCAAAATACCAAGTTGAGTAGACCTGCACTGGAGGGAGAAGAGGAGGAGGCTGTGAGGACAGTGAGTGACCTGCCGACTTACTTGCACGACGAAGCTTGAAGCATCTCTTTTTCCCTCTGTCTCTTCACACTGACGGCCCCAGAGCACATCTACGTCACATGCAAGGGAGGGGGCGGCTTGGTGAGAGGCGCCGAGATAGACAGAAAATTGTATACTGAGGACCTTGACAGCCTCACGGGCGGGATTTTTTTTCCCCCTCCTACGTACAGTGCATATAAAGGAGCCCCGATTTCTTTCTGTGCCAGCTCTCAGGCTTTGCCATCCCAGATAACGGCAGGCATGGGACTCCCCAGAGAAACGGGATGGAAAGGCGGGAGGTGGAGAGAGGCTTCCAGGTGACTTTTTCCTCTCTGCCTGCACTCGGTCACGGAGCTCTAAGAGACTGAGGAGGTGCCACCTGCCTCCCGCCGTGGCTGCTGCCGCCGCCGCTCCTCTCCGGGCTCGCTCCCCCGTTAATCAGATTAGCGCGTCGTAGCAGCCTCCCTCACCCGCTCTTCCATCGCAAGTGTCCGTCTCCCCTGAGAGATGTGTCTCAATTCTGCCTCTCTCTCCTCCCCTTTCCACTGATCACCGTGCAGTTCTCGTCAGCTCTGGGCATCTCTCCCTTTCTCTTTCTCCTTTTCCTGCTGAGTGTCTCTGCCTCCTCTTGGCTCTGTGCATCGCTCCATCCATCCTCCCTCTCTCTCCGCACTGGTGTGTGCGCGCATCTCTCTCCGCCCGGCGGCTGCCACCTTCGCCCTACAAGCGCGGCGCTGCCCGGAGGAGCCGCCGCTGCCGCCGCCGCCGCCCGGCCCTGCCTGGCCGCCGTGAGTCCCGCCTCAGCCCGCGCCCGTCCCCCGCCCGCCGCGGCACCATGTCCGGCTCCGGCAGGAAAGACTTCGACGTGAAGCACATCCTGCGCCTCCGCTGGAAACTGTTCAGCCACCCCTCGCCGGCGGGCGGCCCGGCGGGGGGAGGCTGCCTGCCGCCCGACAGCAGCTTCGAGCACTGGGGACCGAGCCAGAGCCGCCTGCTGAAGAGCCAGGAGAGAGGCAACGGCGTCTTCTGGAAGAAATCCGCCTCCTCCGCCTCCTCCTCGGCGGCCACCACGGCCAGCCCGCCCAACGGGACGCTGCTGCCCGCCGGCGGCCGGCCGGCCACGGGGCACGGCCCGGGACCGCCGCCGCCCCGCACCGTCTTCTACGTGGAGTCCCTGGAGGAGGTGGAGGAGGAGGCGGTGCCCGGCGGGATGGAGGTGGCCCGCGAGCCCGAGAAGCCCCTGGCCCCGCCGGAGCGGGAGGAGGCGCCGGGGGGCTGCGCCGATGGAGGCAGCCGGGCAACAGGTGACGGAGGCGGGCACAGGTAGGGGAGCGCGGCCGCTCCGGCGCCGCCTGCGCGGCGGGCACGGCCGGGTGCGGGAGTCACCGCGGGGCTTTGCGGCCCCGGGGGCAGGGGCGGGGCGGGGGCTCAGCCGGGCCGGGGCTCAGCCGGGCCAGGGTGCTGGCGTTGTTGCGGGAGGGTGAGGGTCTGGGCGCGGGAGGGTGAGGGTCTGGGCGCGGGACCGTTCCTATAGTTCGAACTGGCAGGTTTTAGAGGCGCTGGAAAGGGCGGCTGGAGAGCTGTCGAGAGTCCCGGGAGAGACCAGCAAGCCTCATGGTCAAGGTGCCGTGGGCCAGGGATGCTGCCCTTGGCCTTCCCCCTGCTCCTGGCCTGCGGCTGCCCCTGACCTGTCCCTGTCCCTGTCCCTCTCCTGTCCCTGTCTGCCCCTGGGCTGCCCCTGCCCGTGGAGCTGGCCCAAGAAGAGGCTCTTCTCAAAGCCGGCGCTCCGCGCTGGGGATCGTCGCTACCCAACTTTCCCAGAAGTTTATTAAAACGCTAGCAGGAGGTGGTGGTGTTCTGAGTACTGGGATGACAGGTGAAAGCTCGAAAGTAAAAGCGTCCACTTTCCTGAAACTCGGTGTTACAGCCTACCTCAGAGAAAAATAAGACTCTTATAAGAATTTTATGAGTCATCAACCGAGTGACAAATGAGAAGATGTAAGAACAAGAAAGACACATCCAGATTCTTGTGTTTCATACAAATGCATTAAATTGAATTGCTTTTCCTTCCCATTCCCTGCCCTCCTCATGTCCAGCTGAAACAGAAACCAAAATCTTTTGAAGAAGGAAATGTAGCTACCAGAGATCTTTCAGAAAAACTCTGATACAGATTAGTCCTAAGGGTAAAATGCCTCATTACTTTAACTCTGCTTGCTCCTGCCTCCCCACCGTTAAGATCACTTCATTTCAATTTCCCTTGTCTTTTTTTTTCTCTATGAAGAGAAATGTACTGTTCTGTTTCTGAACATGAAAAGAAATAAAAGAAATTATTTGGTTTGTTATTTTTTTTCATATTGAAAGTTAAACATATAGTATTAAACATTTTAAGACATGAAGGGACAGCACTGTGCATGTTTGGATTAGTACAGCTTAGATAAACATATGGATGTGTAACTTTGATTATGTTACACCTTTTCAGAGAGCCCTAAAGCATATATTCTCGCCTTGAATCTCTTATTGTTTTGCCAGTTAGCATAGTTGGTTTCATAGGAGCTACATAACTTAAACATGTGGAATAGCTGCTATGTGAGTTAGGGTATATTTTTAAAGCGAAAGCAATACTGAAGTGTTTATGAACACTGGAAGTTGTTCTGAGCAACAAGAAGGTGTCCTAGGATTTAATTCAAATTGTTATCAGATACACTACAAAGACAGGTAATACACCAACCCTAAAATTGTAACTTCAACGTTTTTGAGGAGGGAATGGGAGAAGTTAAAAACCATTACAAATATAGTTTCATTCTATGGACTTTTCATCTAGGTGTGTCACTGATCTGAAATTCTGTAGAGATCTGCATACTAACAGAAACATACTGAGTGGCACCACTTGATTTGTATGTAAGAGTTGACTTGATAGAATGTATGTGACATTATGTGACTCTGTGACATTATCTATCTGATTACTGCTTTCTATTTTCATTATCCATTTATTTCATGTTCTTCATTCATTGTTACTGAAACAACACATCTAGTCATCAGTAGCTCATAATCCTGTTGAAGAAATATGCTCAAATTTGTTCAGATTTAAAATAACTGCTTCAGGAGATGTGATTTCATTATTAGTGAAAATGCCAGTTTTTGAAGTATGAAAATGTTTAAGATAGTTTTAGAGTCTAAGACTTGACTTTCTGTTTCATATCAAAGAATCTTTAATTTACCTCTACAAACTTTGTATGTTATGTCAAGAGGTGGTCGACTGCTGCAAAATGACAGTTCTGTGCTTGAAAGTTCTATGATCCAACAATCTTCTAATGCCCTGGAAAGTTATGTCTCACTCATTCTGTAGACATAAGTTTTTTATAAATGTTTTTTTTTTCTGCTATTGACATATATGTAGATGTGAAAATTGCTTTTTGTTTTTTATTTTTAGTGCCTACTTTGTATCTCCAAAAGAGTGATGGTTGGATTCCTGTTTGGACTTTTTGTTTGTTTGTTCTTTTTATTATGTTTTTTCCCAGTTGGCCTCCTCAGTTTGGTATGTGAATTTTGTACTGGTGTCCTTTTTCAGCTCAGCCAGATTTGTTTTTCAATGGAGTTTTAGTTACTGTTTCTACATCTAAGCTAAACACAAAGCTGGAGGATCTTGAATTCTTGGGTTTTATGTTTTGTTAGATATTGTGGGATTTATTTAGTGAGACATTATGGTTGTGTAATAATAAATATATTCTACTTCTCTAATTTGGGTTTTTTGCATGTTTCTGAAGAACATCTGCTCATGTCAATTGCACAGTTTTTCTGTGCAAATGTAAGGTATAAATGTGGGTAGTCCTACTGGCATTAAGAAGACTGAAGGGTTAAATAGGGCATGTTATAAAGTACTTACCTAATTGTTCTACTTTCTATATTGTATCCGTAAAAAAATGGTTTACAGTTAACAATTAGTGTTAACATGGTCTGATTGCTTGAAATTGCTTGGAAACATGCATATCAAGTTGGTTTAGAGCTGGCATGACGAAATTGTCAATAGATGCAGTGAGTATTTAAATATTCTTTTTTTTTTAATCTTCATTTTCTAATACAAAACTGTTAGGGAAAAAAATCTATAATATGAATTTATAATTAAGATTTACAAATCAGCCTCAAAATGCTTGAAAAATACCAGTGCAAAGATTTGTGTTACATCTATCAGAGCCTCAAAGTTTGTAATGGAGATTTTACATACTCACGATGGCTCTTTTCAGATGACTTGTTAATCAACACCCAACATGAATGGGGTTCACTTAATAGGCAAAGAGTTAGTATTTTAACCCCTCCTTCCTGAGTGGGTGGTAGCATTTTTTGCTTGCCTCACACTGTTCAAATCCTATGAAGATGTAATTCCTCATGAGCCCTTGGCGCTGTTCACCACTACACTCAGTATGTTCCTCACAAACTAGTAACAGGTTTATTTTTACAACAGCCCTATTTTACAGTGGAGGGGCAAGCCAGAAAGAAAAAAAAAAAGAATTGATTTGTTTCAGTGCATATAGCACTTTTCTCCCACTACTTTCTCTGTTCTCAGTTGCACCCATAAATGATGAGCCCATCTGCAAACCAGTCCCAGACTCCTCTGATTGTGTGTGAGAGGAGTGGAGAACATAGGATTCAATTAACATTTGCTTTAAGAGATGGTTCCAAGAAGAATGTGCCAGATATGCCTAACCCACGTAAAGCAAGCACTGACAATGCAGAAGTCTTTCATAAAACATACAAAAAATTGAAAATACAGTTTCTGAAAGAAGGTGGCAAATCTTCCCACCATTAGATGCTTTCTAATAGTGTACCATAAAGAAAGAAGCAAAAAGACTGAATACTGTGCCTTCACAGAGACAGAAACACAGGTGGCAAATCTTCCCACCATTAGATGCTTTCTAATAGTGTACCATAAAGAAAGATCAAAAAGACTGACTACTGTGCCTTCACAGAGACAGAAACACAACAGAGTTTCATGCCCAAATATTGAGTTACTAGAAAAGTAGTGAAGAAGGCATTTTACTGTGTTTCTGTTGAGTTTTGTCAATGGAAAGTAAAAAATTCAGTAATAATGGGAATCCAAAAGGTTAATAAGTGAGAGAATGATTTTCTAATTCAAACATTAACTGAGAAATTTAGTTTGCAAGTCTCTGTGGTCAAAACTATTTATTTAAATTAAATCACTAGGTTCAGTGTAGAATCAGGAACATAAAAATGTGCATGGTTAACCTATATGATCAAAGCTTTTATATAAGCATTTCTTTTGTATTTTTCTGTTCTGAGCCCACAAATCCTGCATTTTGATGCTTTTGCCCATTAGTCTCCACTTCCAAGTCTTCCTTTTCTCCTAGCAACCTACAATCTTGTGGTTTGCATGCTGCTGTAGAAAGTTACGAATTTGAAACCTATCAAGATGAGCAACATTCTCAATGCAGCTTTCTAATTTAATGAAAAATATTTTGTCCATTTTTTAGAAAATGTAGATAAAACTGGCATAAAAATTTGCTACTTGACTACTTGAAGTACTACTGTAAGTTTATCTAGTCTTAGGAGAGGATTCTGGTCCCTGGTTTATAAGTAAATGGAGCTTTCTGTTTACAGCTTTCATCTTAGTACCTGAACTTACAAGAAGAGAAGAATCAAGATGCCTTTCTATGTCTTAGTCTACCCTGTGAACTCTCATAACTTCAAGTATTTTAACAGCTGATTATGTGGCCTTTCTCAGGTGCTAACCATATTTGAACCATAGCTTCCTTCTCCTGTGATAACCAGATCCTAAAATTTGATCCTAAAGAACTCAAATTAATAGCTGCTTATGTTTTTTTATTGTCTCATGTAGGCTGCTTTGTTATGAAGGTAATTTAATACTTGGGGTGGAATATAGAGCACACAATTTTGCATTTCTAGGTTATGGAATCAGAAGAGGATAATCCATTTGTTTTTGTCATGAGCCAGTTTTTCAACTTTATTATAAAACTTCTAAAAATGGTTATATAACTTGTAGGCTTTTATATTTATACTTTTAACTTTCACAGCTAAAGAATCAGGGTTCCTACACAACACAGGCCACAGACCTTTCTCCTCCAAAGCTCTTATTCATTCTCAGAGGATCTATGCTCCGTGCATGGGATGTGGAAGAATCAGGCAATAAAAATAGTGCAAGATCGCAAGGCAAAAGACTGTATATATATATATATATATATATACGCGTGTATGGGATTAGATAAGTTATAAAGAGAATCTAGGTCTAGAATTTCCTAACTTTAAAAACTGTCTTTAGTACTTGTAGAACAGCATTTCTAAAGCTTGGC